TAGAACAATTTTAAAATTTTTGTACTAAAAATTTATTGTAAAATAATTTTATAATTATTAAAAAATTTAATAATATCGTTAAGATAATCTTAACTCCATTGAAAAAAAATAGCTAGTTTCTGTAAAGTTTTTCATATATTGATATTAATACTTAGTATATGACTCCTGATAATACCAATGTGGCAGAATCTTGTCATGCAAATATTAATTGTAATGGAAAAGTATTATCTTTATATAATACAATTCTTAAGTAAGTTTATTTTTATTTAATTATATTTTAGATATTTTATTTTAATTATTTATAATCTTTATTAAAATTTAGAGTGAAACAATATAATGAGTAATATTTTATTACTTGTAATATTCAAACCAATTATAGAATTTCTAATTCTGGTAAAAATCAAAGTATTATTGCAAGAGAAAAGCGATTAATTAAAAAAACAGGTAGATATTATAAATTATATAAATATTTATTTTATAATATTAATTCTAATTAATTTAAATTTAATAATTTAAAGTAAATAAGCAAAAGTCAAAATCAAAAGGAAAATCAAAACAAATAGATACTGTTCAAGCGCAAAAAAAAAAATAGTTTTAAAAAACAAAAAGTTGAAATAGATCTTATAGAAGATTTATCAAGTCAAACATCATCAAGTTTAAATCATCAAGAATATCAATTAACTCTTAAGGAATGTGAATTGGCAATTAAAGAAAGAGAACTTAAATTAGAGAAAGAAAAACTTGAATTGGCAAAACTGCGAAGAGAACTTAGTCTTAATGGGCTTAATGATTAATACTTAATAGGTAAATATTTTTATTAAATTATTTAAATAATTAAATAACCAAATATTTAGTCAAAAAGCCAATCTGTTCTTTTGTCAAAATGATAAGAAGAGTATTAATTAAGGCAGAGTGGACTTTCTTATACAATACGTATGATGAAACACATCAAAAAAGAAAATATACTTAATCATAGACTATCCTGCACAATATAATGAGGAGCAGAACCAAGCAACAAAACCACACCTTCAAGTCAAATACACTACAGCTCTTTGAAATAAAGTATATGAACAATATGCTCCCAGTGCTCAAGAAACTCAATCAAAGAAGGTCCAAAACTTACAAAACTGACAAATGTGTCATATGTAAAAAAAAGAAAGAAAATATAGAAAACTTGGTGAGCTGCGAGCGATCTTTAAACTTACTCTGTACTTTAGAGAAGCAAGTAGTAGGAGCAACCCTGCATGAATTAAAAAATGTAGAGAGCTTGGAGGAAATGACAGAAGAAGTCCTTACAATGCTAGAAAAGAATCTCAGGTTGATGAAATGTGCAGAAGAGAAAGATGGATTAGAGGCTTGATCACAAAAGAAGACTTTGAAGAGCTGAGATCTCTCTTCGACTCAAACAACCAAACAAAGCGATTTATAAGAAGTCTCTGGAAGAATTGGATAAAAGAAATATACGAGAGAATTTGGGTGCCAAGATGCAAATTAGTACAGGAATGAGAGAAAAAAAATGGAATTGTGCCAAAAGATAAAAGAAGATTTTATGAAAAGACAAGAAAGAAGAAAAAGAAGAAGAAAGACCACCAGATGGGCATATTATTAAAAGAAAGGAAGATGAAAACGAGAGTAAAAGGTGGCTGTCAGTTCTAGAAATAACTAAGAAAGAGGTGTTGAGGTGGATTGTAGAAGGTCAATATTCAGATTGGTGGAAAACTGATATATAGTCTTGACAGGCAGTAAGAACTAGCTGTTGATATATTATCGAAGCCAATTGCAGGATAAGGTAATACAGAGACAATTCTTACTATAGCAGGTTGCACATAGGTACTCAATGAGCAACCAGGTGAGTCTTCATTTGTAATTTAGGTACTGGGGAGAATAACTCTTCAGAAAATTTTAATAGTTTAGATAATTATTACAAAGCCTAATAAAGTGAAGGCAAGACTGCTAAATTATAAAAAAAAAAAAATAACCAAATATTTAAATAAAATTTTCTTGATAGATTTTATATACATATAAATTTGTGTTCAAAGATACTAGTGCATTAGTAGTGCATTATGAATCTAAAATTATTATAGATATCTTAAAGCTACTGCAACTTCTGCTATTTGAGTTTTAACCTTTTAGGTTAATAAGATATTTATTTGTTTTAATAATGTAAAATCAGTAAATTTTTAATAAAAAAGATATTTAATAAAAAAGATATTTTTCAAGTGCTAAATAATTCAAATTAATTAATTAAAATTCTATACAACAATTAATATAAAACCCGTTAAAATATAGTGTTGGCCTTGTTACAGTTAATAATTTAAACATTAAAATATAAATAAATTATATTCGTTCAAGCAAATATAATATTACATAGGCAACTTATATTCAATAATAAATAATAAATTAAGACATCTTAAATTAAAATAATTTATAATTTTATTAGTCATGTTTCTCTACTAAACTCAGTAATGTTTCTACAAAATAATATTAAATTAATGTCATATAACTAAATTATAAAATTACTAAATAAATAATAGATGTATTAGCATATATTATTTATTATTTATTTGTTTAGATGTATATATTTAAAGGCTTAGAGGTTGTATTTATGATCTTGAGACTCAAAAAAAGAAAATTATGCAATAAAGGAAGGATAGTTTAATGAGTTATTTTATGAATTTCTATTTTGGGGGAATATTAATGTTAAAGCCAGGGGTTGTTTTTTTAATATATTTAGTTTTTTAATTTACGATTTTACATAGAGTTTTCTATTTGAAAATTTTAAGAAATTAACTTTATGCTCTATTTGTGAATAAACAACAATATGTTATTTTCTAATAGTAACATTTGACAATTGACAATCAATATAAATTGGATAGTAATATGGAACAGCAGGATTTTATTTTATAAAGCAAAATTTTTTAGCTCCATATAATTTTACTAGAATTATGTAATCAATCAGTACATAGAAATAGTACAAATTATATATATAATCAAAATCGAATCAGCTAGTTTATCGGAATTGAAGTAATAAGGAATACCCCTTGAGAACACCCTTAAAGGCCAATAAAGCTTGGTTTTGTGTTTAGATGAGTTTTTAAAACAGCGATCATATTTTGAATAATCAATTATACTTTCATTTTTTCGGCCATTCGACCATTTACATAGATCAACAATTTTTTTCAAAGGGTTAAATAAAAAATAATCAAGAACTAATAAAGCATTTGAAGCCATTTTGCAAAATAATAAAAAATCAACAAAATTTTTTAAAAAATTCTTTTAAATTAAAAGTACGTTTATTAAACATACTTTAGGTTTGGTGTATGAAACATGTACCCATGTTAAACGTCCAGTCAATTAAAAGTTTAAAAAATTGATGCTCTGTATGTACATAGCTTTAAATTTGTAAAATAAAGTGCCTTGTATTCTAATTGGCTTAATTTTACCGATCGATATAAAAAAAGCTATTGTATTTATTATTATTATTATTTAATATTACATTCAATTTATTTAATTATTACATTTACGTTAATTACGCTGCTAAAATCTAATTTAATAATCAACACAGCCTTTGATAAAAACGTTATGCTTGTAAAGAAAATTTAAAATATAAAAAATATTTAGCACAAAAAAGAAATTGCATGAATTTCAATGAACTTGACCACATTAGAAAGTACAAAGTGTATTTTTTTACCACGAGAGCAGTTTTGTTCTGTGTCATTTCACAATTTAAGTCAATTACAAATTGACCTAAATCATTTTTAAATTTTGAAACGATGTACATTATTTCTTAATCGGTGAAAACATAAGTTTATATGACTAGATCCTAAAAATAATATGACCGATAATAAAATATTAATTATATTTTAAATATCCTTTTGCATAAATAAATAAGCCATAAAAAATTTATACATAATTTTACATATAAAATTAAAAAAATGTAACATTTGCATAAATTACTGCTATACTAAAAATGAAATTCTTTATAAAACTTAAATAAAAAAAAATTATGTAAAATAAAAAATAAAGCACAATAAAGGCTTATAAAAAAATTCGCATAACTAAAATTATATAAACCTAAAAAAAAAACTAATGTAGAACGCATCCACATCGTCATATACATAACAAGTTATTTTTTCAGTAAAAGTCTTTTGTGGAATAAAACAATATCTTTTTTATGTTATTAAAAAGAAAAGTAAGTATATTATAAAAACCAAAAAAAAACCTTTTGCCAGGTTTTGTCTTAACTAGCACGTTCTGTTGTTTGTATGCGGTACAAATAATCTCATAAAAATTTTTCAATTGAACAAACTTGCACCCTAGGTTATTTTCAGTAGGCTTAATTATATGAAGTTCTTCAATCGTACCAACATAAAGAATTTTAAAATTATGTCACCCAATATTTAAAATATGAGGTTTGTAAATTGTCTGTACATTAAACATTTTTTATATTTATTTCGATCCATTAATGTTTTTCATTTAACAAATAAAATTTCTAATATTCGATCAAAGGTTTCATGCACCAGGAAGTTGTATCATTCTATTTTTAATAAGATTTATTTAAAATTAAGACTATTGTTTTATATTAAATAATAGAGGAATTTACATATAGATACCTGAAAAGTGAAAATAATTACATATATAAGTATCTGATATTTAAAAAATAGTACTGTGACTCAAACCTGTGGCTTTATTGTCATTAATTAAAAATAGCATAAGAGATGTAATCATCAATTGTAAATTAGTATGTAATTTTAAATCATTAATAAGCATAGCATAAGAAATGTAATCATCAATTGTAAATTAGTATGTAATTATAAATGAGAGAAAAAATAGGCTTTTCGTCTTTTTTTTTTAATAAATTTCATTCGTTTTGTTAATATTACCTATTTTTATGACAAACCTGATCTATAACAATAATGTGCAAGTCAGTATAAAATTTCCTGATATGAAAAGCATTCGCTCAGTTCTAGAGAACTACTTGGTTGAAACATCTTCGTCTTATAAGTTTAGGACTAATAACTTGAACAAACTACTTGTTCTTTGTCCCTTGTATGAAGTGATGAAGCCAGCACTTGCTCTTTTATGGTCTCTGTCAACAAACGTAAAGATGGTTACCACCAGCCATGATCAAACAATTAGGATGACCACGAAAAATTCATTTATGTAGCCATGCTGAGACTGCACCAGAAGACCAACTTACCTGTGATAAATGTGGCGAAAAGGGGCATAACATACGTACTTGTAGTCGAAGGCATGCATTGAAAAAATAAAAATTAGTTCTTTAGTTTGAGGTAATACACATAGACACTTAATTTTTATATCCAATATAAAGTTTAATAAATATTATTGCAAAAATAATTATAACCAATGCTTTATTTATCTTTTATTCTCTTATAACGAATATATTTGGCAATTTGATAATTTTAGTTCGTATTTTTGTAGCGTGGTAGTCATGTTTTTTCAACTATATATAATATTTTTTAAATATCAGGCACTTATATGTAATTATTTTTAATCCAGACACTTATTTGTAATTATTTTCACTTTCTGGGTACATATATATAAATTCCCTATATAATATGGCATACGTAATACATTGTAGTATAATAAATTAATATGTGATTCTGAGGTCTAATTTTTATTAATTTGAGATAAAGTCCTTCCATTCGCCACTGTGTGTGACCAATAACCTATGTGACAAATTAGCACTAGTAGCATTAAAAATTGACCCAAGTCATTTCTAAATCGGTGAAAATTTAAGAATGATGTGGGTCAATTCAAAATTGACCTAAGT